CCCATCTGACCTCTAGAGGGCCGCCCTCGGCCGTACTAATTCTTTTTTACTACCTAGGGAATAAAGTTTCCTGACATATAATGGATCACCTAATCTTGGCATTTCTTGTAGTGTCAACATGTTGCATTTCACTATGGTTTGAAGAATTGTCCTCTTTCAACGACAATATGTAATTGCTTTGTATACCCTTTTCATTCACTTCCATGTAAGAGCCTCTGGGACATTCTTCTGCTGTCTTCATTACGTGCTCCCTCATTGATTCTTATTCACAACCCTTAATCTGTATCTTCAGCCATCATTTTTTTCTTTATATCTTATTATAATTGTCAGCTGCCTACTGTGCCCTTCAGTATATAAATCATCACCGGAAATGCAGTATGTCTAAGACCAAATGCATCACTGTTTCCTTCAAATCAGCTCTGTTTGTTGTTTTCAGTCATATCCTCCTTCATCTAAGCCAGAAGCATCAGTTATCTTCATTTTTCACTTTTCATTTTCTCTTGATTCATGAGCCAGTATTTTGACAAGTGTTGTCATTCTAATTTTGAAATATGTAGCTTATGGATTTTTGTATAATTTTTTTTATAACAGAATTTCCTCTGCATTTCAATTGCTTTTCCATGTTCAAGCCCGGATAGTTATAGTAACCTCCTGTCTACTTTCCCTTCCACTGTTTCTCTTCACATTGTCAAATTTACATTGCAGTCTATCACTTCACATTAAAAAGCCCTCAAATGTTTCCAGTTACATGTAAGGTAGGTAGTGAATGCTTATTTTTCATATCCCTTCATTTAGGTTTTGTTTTACTGTCTTATATCACTGATTTGTTGTATACGTATATTTTTCTTATTTGCCTCATTTTCCGAGATAAACGAAATTTTCTTAGAGTAAAACTCTGCTTTACTTCTCAGTGTCTGTCACTGAATACCTTGCATATAATACCTTGTATGAATATATTTTAAATGAAGATGTAGATGATTTGTTTGTTTATTTTTTAAAGATTTATAAGAGCTGGGGTATAGTACATCCAGAGGCGTGGGAGGGTGAGAGGATTCACCAGAGACAGAGCAGGGAGCAGTACGGGCAGATGGACTAAAAGCACTGCTGAGGGGAGCAGCAGGCAAGATGGGAGAGGTCTGCCATGCCATGTGGGTATCTCCCTGGCTGGCCAGGAATCAAACCAGTGCTGCAGAGGCTGCGGACAGCTTCTCAGTGCTGCATTCTACCTGCTGCACCACCAAGGAGGCCCTAAGTTTATTTATTTATTTTAAAGATTTATTTATTCACACATACAAGAACTGGGATAGAGGCCAGATGTGCAGGAGGATGAGAGGATTCACCAGAGAGAGAGTGGGGAACAGAATAGGCAGACTGACTGAAATACACTTTTGAGGGGAGCAGCGGGTAAGACAGGAGAGGTCTGCGCGCCATGTGGGTAGCTCCCTGGCTGGCCGGGATCACACGCACGCTGCAGAGGCTGTGGACAGCTTCAGAGTGCTGCGCTCAACCACCTGTGCCACCAGGGGAGACCCCCTAAATTTATTTTTGATTTGATATTTTAGAAATTTTTTAAAATAGTATATACATACCTATATGAATATACACACAGACTTACATATATCTAGTTTACCAGTCACTCGATGGGCATTTTCATAATAGGAATTTTTTATGTATCCCTCTGTAACTTTCCTTTAAAACTTTTTCAAAATCCATCTTTGTCCATCGCTCCCTTTCAGCTGACACGAATTTACCTTTATGTATGGAGTCAACTCATTATAATAAGTCTGACATCATCAAGATTTATCTCAAGGTTATATGACAGAAATGTCTCAGGATTATCCCCAAGTGGAGAAAAAAGGAACTATACTATAGTTGTTACAATTCTGTAATTTTAAAAGCTGAACAGAGTAAGTTTTGTATCATTGGGTTAAAATTTATATAATTAAGCAAAGTAGTAATAAATTTGAGGCTTAAGCTTGCTTTGAAACTGTAAAAAAGAATAATAAAAATTGAATCAGGCAAATAACAACAATGAGCAGGGGCACTGGGGAGGCAAACTTTCAAAATAAGTATGTTAAAAATTGTATATATACATGCTTCTAGGAAGAAGTTCTGTAGCTTTCATCAGCTTAAGAGCCTCACTAAAACTACACAGTGTCTGTTTTTACCATGACAAGCCTTTTGGATGCCTTAAAGTCATAATCTTTTTTTCTTTTCTAATTATCTTCTTCTTTGGGCCTAATATCCCTATATTCCTCAACTCTTCCTAGCATAACCAGAATTCTAGATTCTTCACAGTCTTATCATCTCCTGATTTCCTTTATCCAGATAGTTCTAGTTTGTCAACAAGGCATATAAAATGTAACATCCAGAACTGGACTAATTATTCTGTTAATCATGTAGATAATAGTGAGCTACAACCTTTTTCTGGAAACTATATTAATATATACATGATTTCCTTTGTGTGAGAGATTTCCCTGCCCCCCGCCCCCCGTTACACACACATACACACACACACACACAAACACACACTCTCTCTGTCTCTCTTTCTTTCTCTCTCTCTTTCTCTCTGTCACTCTGCTGGGAGTTCTAGTCCTGATTAATGACTAATGTGTTATGTGATCTATGGGCCTGTCCGTCCCATTCTCCAAAACCTTATTAAAAATCAGAAATACTTTTACCATTTATTAAATAAATGTATGCTTATTCAAAAGATCTCATGGCATGGTTTCTTCAGTATTTCACTGCTTGCATAACAAGATAGGAATTCAGAGGGTTGTCAGCTTGCTTACTGAACAATTTAATCTGGTCTGGTGCCTTTTATTTGTATGCCTTTACCCTTCACTTTGATAGCCTTTCCAGTTAACCTTCCCTTCCAGAGGAATTCCAGGTTAGAAACTGATGCCTCCCTTCCTCATAAAACCAATAGAGTTGACTGACTTCAAGCCGTGTGCCCGATTTAGCAGTGGGTTTAAAACTGTATGCGCTTACTCTGTATTTGATTGATTTTTAAGAATTCAAGTTAACTTAGATTTTAAATTCTCAAACCATATATTTCACTGAAAAAGAAATGGCCAACAGTACAGTTTTCCAGTGCCTGCCTGAGAGAAATAGCAATGTGCATTTTTAACTATCATCGAATGATATTAAAATGCCATATATCATGTAACTGGAGAAATATTTCCTCTTTAATGGACCATGGTAGTAGGGGGGTTTATTTTGTATAATTTTTAGAAGTAGATTACAGTGACTTCGACATCTCTTAAATATTGATTTGCACATAGGCATGACAAGCCTATTAAATAATGCTTAATTGACATTCCTTTGTGTTTGAATCACATGGACTGAAATTAAGCACCAGAAATACTTCTGAAATATTGTGATTCTTTTAAATATTATTCTTTTGGAAAAAATAAACCTGTTTAATTTTTTAAGTAGATCAACTAAATATACAGTCAACTCTCGATTATTCACGCGACTGGAGGAAAGGATGGAAGAAGCATTCCCATTTCTCTCGTTCCTGCCCCCTCAGACAACTGCTGATCTCATTCCAAACAAAATTTTTGGCTTTCCATCTTGATCACGTTACATTGTGTCCAGGATGCAGTTGAGTGGAGTGGACGAAAAAGTTTCATATTATCACATTCTGTTCTTTATTAATACATTTTTAAAATCAGTGCATGGCTATTGTACTATTAAAATTCACACAAGAATTTGATAGCATTGCTATTAGGCTATTGTGCTGGTGGCTCATACGATTAGTTTTATATAAAAAAACTTACCTTTGAATTACAATTTACAGACAATTACAACTTTTCAAAAGCATTACCGCATGGTACCAAATTGCTTTAAAAAATTTTAATATAAAAATTTTATGAGTTTTATCTTGAAGAGTTTTATAAAAATTCTTCCAACTTTTTGAATTCTTGATATATATATTTCTCAGTACTGTGTAAGTGTTTGTAAAGGGAAGAAATGCTGAAGGAATTTATGTGTAAAAACAATATGTTGCGTGTATATAATACGTCATTTTCTCTACCAATTAGCAGCACACACTGTGCTATTATCCAGACATGAGCATTCATGGGAATGCATGTATCTGGATAACAGTGAGTTGAAATAAATATACCTGCCTTTTATTTCAATAACTGCACATTCAAATCCACATAAGGCATTTATTTGAATGTGGCCTCCATATACATGAGGGAGCATTGGTTTCAGTGTTTTGATTTTTTTGTTGTTGTTGATGTTTTGTTGTTTTTGATTTAAATCTAAAGTAGGTACAAACTTATGGTAATGCTTCTCTGGAAAACTGTGCATGCAGAGAAAAGGAAATTCAAAGATAAATCCTATGAAAAACATTGAAATTGCTTTGTCTTATGATGCTTTGCCTCTGTGTGTATTGGAGCTAAATTCTTATAGAATGTAGCAATGCTTAAAGCCAAAGTGTATACAGCCCATAAATCAGCTTGGAACTGTGCCTACTTTATTTTAAATTAATAATTTAATTCTTTTTCTTTTTCAGAATGAAAGTATTAAGCTTTCATTTGGAGAATCTTTCTTTTTTTTTTTTTTCCAAGAAACCATTTCCTTGAAAAATGTATTAGAACATATAGCTAAACTTTAAGCAATCATTAGCAGTGGAAGTGTTTGTTTCAGGGCTTATTTTAAAATCGATGTAATAGTCTCTCCTCTTCTTCACCCCATTTAGACCATATTCCTGTATAGTTAGTTTTAACTGACGTGAGCCAGATAATTGAATTAGGATTTCTTTAGGAATCTAACTTTGAATTTCCTACTTTTCATTGCATGGAAACTATCAACCACAAATAATTTTCAGTGTAAGTTCTAGCTTGTATTTTGCATGGTTAAAGCTATTAAAAGTCTATTAATGCCAAAAAAAATTTATAGCTATTGTTCCACTGTTGCCTTCAACTTTCAGTGTTGAAGTTATAAATAAAGACTGGTTTTATTTATATGGATTTGTCTTCTTCTCTTAGGGAGTGAACTACTTTATGGCCAAGGGTATCCTCGATGATTCACCAAAGGAAATAGCAAAGTTTATCTTCTGTACAAGAACACTAAATTGGAAAAAACTGAGGATCTATCTTGATGAAAGGTAAAAAAAAAAATTAAGTTTTCATCAGAAATGAATTAAGTAATGCTTTTAATGAATATTTTATTTTGTTTTACTTTAAAAAACTGTATCACATAACAGTCACCTAGCTGCAAAATTGAGTAAAGACAGGGTAGAGATTTGTATATATTTCAAAGCATTTGTTTTGCAAGCTTTACTTACTGATGCGATAGTTGCCATTGTAGAAGTTAAAAAAAAGCCCATGCACACTTGCAAACTGGAAGCCCAGCATCTTTGTAATAGCAAGCCCAGATGTTTAAACAACTTAAAGTTCTGAATTCTGAAACTGTCCATGTAAAAATCATATAGAGGGGCCCTCCCTGGTGGCACAAGGGGTTAAGATGCAGCACTATGAAGCTATCCGCAGCCTCTGCAACACGAGTTTGATCCCTGTCCAGGGAGGTGACCCACATGACACAGCAGTCCTCTCCTGACTTATATGCTGCTCCCCTCAGCAGTGTATTTCAGTAGATCTGCCTATTCTGCTCCCCACTCTGTCTCTGGTGAATCTTCTCACCCCCCACACCTCTGGCCTATACCCCAGTTCTTATATGCATAAATAAATAAATCTTAAAAAAATATATAGAAAAACTGTACAAATCATAGACATACAAGGTATACATATATTGAATATTTGCATGTAGATGCTACACAAAAGTCATTTACAAGCTTATAGGATTAGCTGATGTGATAATAAATAAAGTATTTTTATCCAAAAAATGACTTTTTCTTAATCACTTCTTAAAAGAGAGAAAAGTTAACCAGATCTGTATTTTTTTTTTTTCTTTTTCTACTAGGAGAGACGTCTTGGATGACCTTGTAACCTTGCATAATTTTAGAAATCAATTCTTACCCAATGCACTGAGAGAATTTTTTCGTCACATCCATGCCCCTGAAGAGCGTGGGGAGTATCTTGAAACTCTAATAACAAAGTTCTCACATAGATTCTGTGCTTGTAACCCTGATTTAATGAGAGAACTTGGCCTTAGTCCTGGTAAGAAAATAATGAATTTTTTTCTACCTCCCTCCCCCTAACTTCACCCACCATCACCAGGTAAAACAGTATATGAGGGATTTTCCTCACTAAAGGGAAAAATGCTTCAAGTAACTGCAAATACTTATACTTGTTTTACTGCTTGTAGCAGTGATAGCTTTAGTTTGTCACAGATATTAGTTTTATATAGTAATATGAACTCAACTGTATAAATTCTTTAAAATTATTCTTGTTTGAGCACTGACCTATCTTACTAGCCTAATTTTGAAAGCTTTGAATAATCCACATATTGCATAGGTGACATACTGAATTTTTCTACTACAGTGTATTTTTAGTACAATTAGTTTTCACTGTGTGTGGATATATGATAGAGCCTGTGTGACCTATGAATTGCTTTCATGTGATAGTTTTATTTATCACTTCATATCAAAAGTTTTGTGTTTATCTTGTAAGCTATTGTGCTAAAAATTAATTAGAGAGTATAAAACATTCACTTATATGAAATTTTTGGGTATGCTTTTGTAAGACAATGTTTAATTTTGCTTTATTCAGGCTAGAATTTTGAAATATAAAAATATATAAATGAAAAATAAAACATCATAGTAACAGGCATTAAATAATCATATCAAGTAGCAGTGGCATCATTCAGTGTGTTACTCTTTTAATAGTAAACATCAACTATTGCCCTGAGCTTATATAAAAAAGAAAATGTTTTGTTGCCAAATGCTCAGATTCATCTATCTTTTCCTCTAAAGATATGACTTTGAGATTAATATGTAAATTCTAGACCTTTAAAATGTGTGTCTCAAATGAGAATATTAATTGAATAGTCTCATAAGTTATTTACATTTTATTTTCTATACCAAGTTAATGCATTTTCTTGTCATTAGAGATACTTTCAACTTAATGTTTTACAAAAGGATATGTAAATAAATATCACTTTTCTTTAGAGGCGGGAAATATATTAACAGTACAAATGCATTTTATGGGAGGGTGAATGGGAATATCATGTTTGAAAGCAAGGGTGAAAATAAAGCCAAATCTGAAATTTTTATATTTAGAGTTTTCACTGTAAACTACTAAATTATTCTCAAGTTCTGATTTGGAGAAAATGCTAACTGAATTAGTGTTTGGAATCATCAACTGTACTTGTTTTCCAGACTGAGGAGGTGCCCTAGACCCAGAACTTTCAGTGCTAAAAGTGGAGGAGGCCCAGGCAAAGTCAGATGAGCTGGTCATCTTATGTTTAGCTTATAACCTTGAGATCTTAAAATTATGAACACTTGGCACTATATCATGCCTGCGCGACCACAAAACTCCCCGTAACTTGAATTGTTTCTTTTTCCTTCCAGATGCTGTCTATGTGCTGTGCTACTCTTTAATTCTACTTTCCATTGACCTCACTAGCCCTCATGTGAAGAATAAAATGTCAAAAAGAGAATTTATTCGAAATACCCGACGTGCTGCTCAAAACATTAGTGAAGATTTTGTAGGACACCTTTATGACAACATCTACCTTATTGGCCACGTGGCTGCATAAGAGCACAATTGCTAGGACTTCAACTTTTAACTTCAAACTAAAGCTACCAAGGACTGACTTAGCAGATATGGGGGTTACATTAGTGCTGGGCATTCTAGCCTCTGTGTACAATCAAGCTGGAGTGTACAACTTTTTTCTCTTTCTCTGCTTTATTTTTTAATAATTTCCTTGGGGAACTAAAGAATTTTGTAGAATTTTTCTTCCATTTGCTCATCATGTTTTGCACAAAGCAGAGCCACTGTCTGACACAGCTATTTAAGAATGTTAAACTGACATTATGCTCTAAAAAATGGGATATGTGTGTGTTAGATTTGCCTGAAAAACTTTATTCATTTCTATTCTTTTTTAAAATACCATGTAATGTATACATATTTAACTAAAGAGATTTATAATCATAATTATTTTATTGTAAATATTTTGACTAAAGTCTTTCCTTTTTCTCTCAAACTGACTTCTGAAATTTATTTGATTCTGATCTGTGATTATTGTCTTTGGAAAAGCTGAACGTGACTTCACATGGAAGCCAATACCAGCTTCTCTTTCCTTTGAACTTTGAAAGGAGTATTAATTTGTTACTACTGACTATGCAAAACTTGCATTTATTTTTATATAATCACTTGAATTTTTCATTTTTAAAACTGTGTAGTTAAATCTCAGTAAGTTATTTAAACCACTTAAGATAGCAAACTTAAATCTAAGATTTACAAATATAATAATATAGTGTTATTAGAACTCTAGTAAACCTTTGGTTATATCTGAAATAGTCAAACTTCATTATCCTGCTAATCTTGATAATTTCTGTTCAGAATCTGTTGAGAAGAAAATACTGAGAATGATAGTATGCATTCACTCATTCATTCTTTCACTCATTCATTCAGTATTCTCCAGGGTTTTCCATGTGCTAAGCACTGTGCCAGATCCTAGTGATATGATACATGGACTCTGCCTTCATAGCTCTTCGGGCCATGAGCAGAAGCACTGCTTCATGGACAGCAAACCTATGCAGTATATCTTAATTAACATTTACATAATAAATAAAACACTTAGCATTGGAGTGGTAAGAATTACATTTACATGGTAATTCCAAAGTTGCCTGGAAATACCTCCAACTAAAAGCATCAATATTGGAATGAAAAGCTAGGTGATAGGTCGCTCAGCTAGCTTTGAAGGAAGGCCTTGGGGTAGAAGTTTTGCTAGCGGTGTGGAATCCTAGCTTCCTCCAGATTTGGCTGTAAGTCTAGTGTTTACTACAACTAGAATGATGTGCTACAGACTTCAAAGAAAACAAGGCAATCAAACAACTTTTGAAAGTTAAAGGGACTTTTGGACTAGTAGTAAACAATTTCTAAGTTTGTGAAATACATAATTTTGGCATGTTCATAATTTTGAATTCTATGGCAAAATAATTCTAATGATTTTCAAAACTAATTATTAAGTTTCAAAGGACAGTCTTTTAAATATTAATATATTAAACACTTAATATATTAAATTTTCCAATGAGTAGTATCTTTTCTTTGTTGTCTTTTCTTTGTTTTCTTTCATCTCCATCTCTCTATCATTTGGTTCTCTGTGCTTCTATATTTATCTTTAACTGTCTTTTTTCTTAGTATCCTAATTTTATTTCCCAATTTTTTTTCCTGTTTTTTTCTTACTTTTTTTTCGGTTCTATTTTTCCACCCTGACCAGATTATAAATGTAGTTTGGCAGTATTTTGTTTTTCAGTATTTTCTTAATGTAAATTCCTGAATATATAAAAAAATTAGTTTCCATATAATACTGTATACCCATCACCTAGATTCTACAATGAAAATTTTACTGCATACACTTTTCCTGCATTTATTCATCTGCTATCCATCAATCAACCCATCTTGGTGTTTAAATATAGGCCAAAATAAGTCTCATACATCATTATACTTCATTCCTAAAGACTTCAACTTGCACATCATTAGCTAGAGATTTTTTTTTTGCTTTTTTATTTTCAAATAAAATGTTCATTTAATGGAATGTGCAAATCTTAAGTGTCCTCATCTGTGGCTTTCACAAATGCATAGCCATGTGTAAACCAAACTCATATCTAGATTTGCAACTTCATATAGCCTATCAACAGCTAAGATTGTACTCCAAATAAAATATAAACCTTGTGACTATATTGGCGTGTTTATCCATTCACCATCTGTTACCCTATTAGTTGTCATATATATTATATATAGCATTTATATAAACTCTAATATGATTTGCTTTGAATAGTTATATACTGTTTATATTTCAAATAAATTCTAAAAAATACCCTTTCATATTTATCCACATTATCAATTCTTTTTTTTAATTTATTTATTATGCATGGAAGAACTGGAATGTAGGCTCAAGGAGCAGGGTGTGAGAAGATTCACCAGAGACAGAGTGGAGAGCAGAACAGGCAGATGTACTGAAATACACTGCTGAGGGGAGCAGAGGGTAAGACAGGAGAGGTCTTCGCCATGTGTGTTAGTTCACCGGCTGGGATAGAACTCAGGCCTTAGTGGTATCTCGCACTGAGACTTAACCCCTACACCACCAGGGAGGCCCCCACACTATCAATTCTAATGCTCTTACTACTTCCACAACATCCAAGTTTCATGTTAGCATCATTTATTTCAGCCTGAAAACACAGACATCTGTTAACTTCAGGTTTGCTGGCAATTACCACAGTTATATATGAAAAATATATTTTTTTTTCCTTTTTGAAGACTATTTTAGCTGAGTGTATAATTCGATGGTGATAGTTTCCCTCTCCCCACCATCCATCATGCTACTTTAAAGTTACTGTTCACTGTCTTCTGACCTTCATTTTTCTGATAAAAAAGTATTCACAATTTTTCCCCTATGTATAAAAATCTCATTTTCTGACACTTCCTCTATCTTGTTAAATATTTTCTCAGCTTTATTGCCTCTTCATTACAATATGCTAGACCTTTTGATGTTCCCTCACAGATTAATGAAGCTCTGTTGAGTGTTTTTCTAATCTTTTTTTCTTTATTTGGGTTATTTCTCTATAGTTCGGTTCACTGAGTCTTCGGTAGTCTTTCTCCTTTTAAGGTCATTCAATAGAGTGTTTTCTTTCAATTTCATACTGTATTTTTAGGTTCTAGAAATTCCATTTCATGCTTATAATTTTTATTTCTTTGCCTTTTCATTCATCACAAGCATATTTTCCTTTACAACTTGAACATAGTTGTTATAGCTGCTTTCAAATCATCTGCTCATTTCAATATTTAGATCATCTACAGTCTTTTGAGAATATATTTTCCTGTACCTTCATATGTTAGTAATTTAGATTTTGTCCTAGTCATAGTAAATAAAATGTAGAAGCCCAAGATTCTGATATGTTTCTCCAAAGACTTCTTTTCACACTGGTAGTTAACTTGACAACCCCAGTTGCAGAATCTGGCTCCCTACAGCTCAAATTTCAGTTGAGTTCTTTATGTGGCTGCTGAACTTGGAAACTTGCCCCCGCGCGTGCCTGCTTCATAAACCACCCAGAGTTTAGGGCACTCTCTGGTACTTTCCTTGCCATTATTCCCCTCTTCAAATGCCAGCCAGCTTGTCCCCAACTCTGTCCTGTGGTTCTCCAAGTCAGTAAAATTACAGGGCAGCCTGTCTCTTCTCCCAAGTGTTCCCTGTAGGGTCACCTGATTTTGGATCATTTGTCATTATTTTCAGATTGTCGGTATTTACATTTTGTCCAGAGTTTGTGGTTTTGTCTGTTGGAAGGTTGGTCTGACAGAGCTCCATCACCATGGCTCGAAGTGGAACCCACTCCAATTGGGCTATGTTGCTTCCTATACTTACTATATAAGGATTTATTCATGGTTATTTTGTAAACTAGGTGAGTAGAAATTTTAATATTTTCTATCTATGAAGAAACCTTAAACCTTAATGATAAATGTTTACCAAATTAGCAATTCAGTGTTTCCCAGTGGGGATCCTGGATTTTGCCCGTTAGACGTCAACACCATCCGTTAGTCATCATGACATACAAATAATGTCCCCACATAGTTCCAAGTGTCTGCTGGGGAGGAATTTCCCCTAACTTGGAGAACTAGTGGATTATTTTTTTTTTTTTCAGATATAACAAATTTGTTTTCCTAAAGCACAAATTCCTGATGATGAATCAGTTTCAGTTCTTTCAGTGTCTTCTTTCTGCAGAAGTAAGTATAGTCTCCTTAGCAAGGCATGTAAGACCCTTCACAACCTGACTTCAGCTTACCTTGAAAACCTTATTTCCAACATGGATCCTCAAATGTGGTCTGGTCTGTCTGCCTTTTGCAAGCTGTTCTTTCTTTCTGTGATAGTCTTCTCCCCTCTCTACCTAAAGTTCCCCTATTCATCATTTATGATCCACCTCAAATGTAATTTTTTCCTCAAAGCTTTCAAAGAATGTCTTTTCTACATGCCAACACCATTATCAGAATGGGATTTTGTTAAGGTCAAGGACTGTTCCCAGCCTGTCAGATTCCATTATGAAGCCTGAGGTAGGCGAGTGGCAGAGGATTTAGAGAAAAGGAATGAAAATTGATAGTGATTATAGAGAAATATTTCTAAAATGATTTCTATTGTAAAAGGTAGCTACTAGACAAAGCAACCAGTGGAGAGAAGCGGAAAAGATAATATTCTCAATGTTTGGGTATGCGTTTTTGAAAGTATCAGACTATTGATGAGCTACAGCGGAGAATGAGACAGCACTGAAAAAAAAAAAAAAAGCAGTGGATATGTATGTTTGAGGACATATTACTATTTAAAGTATATTATACAGTATATTATACAAAGTGAAAAATGAGGGAGGGGGGAAGCATCTAATGAGTATGTTGAGTAAAAAAAAAAAAAAGACAACATTTTAGGTTTTGAGAGAGAAAAAAGGCCAGAAAAAGAAGACTTATTAAATCTGTGAAAGGACCGGAGAAGAATGGTAACCCGAAACTAGGGGAGAAGTTTCCGGAGCTTTGCATTTGCTGCAGCTCACGTCAACAGCTTCTTCCCTTCTTGAGTCTACCTTTTCCATTTGGGGCTCAGTTCTCTGAAGTTAGAAAACCACAGTAGCGCTAATGGCTTTGATGTTGTCTCTCACCAAATACACCCTCACCGACTGTGGCATCTGAGCTCTGTGGAAACCTGCAGGAGGTGGATCCCCTGCAACCCCTCCTGTGCACACCTTCCTTCTCTACCTACCAGGCTGACTGCCGTTTTATTGCCCAAATACACCACAGCAGCCGGGAACTGCCAGTGAGTTCTTCGTACTCTCAATCACCAATTATGTTTCCTAAGCTACAGGTCATCCTTTTTAAGAAAAGAAAGGAAAGGGAGAAGATGCATGGAGCTTCCAAATTCATCAACAGGTTTATCCTAAGTACACTCTCTAATCTTAATGAACCCTGTAGTTTCATCCTTCTGATCATTTGCTTTATTCTTTCTTCTGGAAAGCTCATAGCCTTCTCCGTGTTTACAAGTTGAAAAGTTATTTAGCCTTTTAAATTCTCTCAGACTCTTTTTCCCTCCAGAACACCTTTCTCAGTTTTTTTCAGGTGGAAATTGTGTTCTTTTATCTCTCTTAGTAACTAACACAGGTGTTAGCTCAGAGCAGTTTCTCAGTAAATACAACTGAATTCTTTGAATCTCTAATTGGGTTTCTACATAAGAATGAAAGAGGATGGCCTTACTGTTTCTAAAAAATGTATCTAGGGCTTTCAGGCATACAAATTTTATCAG